TACACAGAGAAACCCTGTCTCGAAAAACCAAAAAAAAAAAAAAAAAAAAAGAAGGGATATCCAGAATACTCAAGTTGAGCTTTCTACAGGAAGGAGCCTAGGGCTGTATTTAAGCCACCATGATACACTTAGGGACTCTGAGTGTTGACTCCACATTCAGCAGCAAGGATGAGTTACCTTGGGGGCACTGGGACAGGGCGATGGTGATGCCGTAGAGCCGAGTCTGCTTGTGGGGGTGGAAGGTATCCATCTCTTTGGATACAGCAAGGTCCATGGCAATCACTGAATTCCTGCAAAGCACCAAAGCACGGAGAGTGAGCATGCATCTGCACGAGCATGCTGGCTTGCACTGTTCTCAGTGGCTTACAGCCCCTCTGTGGCTTGGAAGAGAAAAAGACATGGTGTCTTGTCTCTGTGTATTCCTCCCTTTGGGCTGGGCCAAGACTGTAGTTCATTGCCTTTTTACAGTAAAGGTCCAAATAACCTAACTCTCGCCTCTGCTCTAAATTCTCTCCTGGCCAGCGGCCTCCTTTGTAGGAGGGTCTGGTCCAGAAGCAGCTGTGGGACTACTGCAGTTTTTAAAACTACATTGATGTAGAGGTGTGACATAATCATGGAGCCCACCAGCCATGTGACCGCAGGCGGCTCCTAGGGAAAGAACAGACATGCTCAGGAAGGTTCAGGTTCGGGTACTATTAACGGCACCTCTGCTCCTCTCTGAGATCTGCCAGCCCTCTTCCTCTGCCTTCTTCTATAGCTCCTGACAGCCAGGAGGAGGGAAAAAGCAGGCATCACTGGAGGTCAAAGGTTAGGACAAGAGGCCAGAGGCAAAGGCCTCCATAGACAACGGGAAGGACAAAGTTCTGCCCAGCCCGCACGGCAGCAGCCTACGTACGTCTTCCAGTCTGTGTAGTACAAATTCTTCCCATAGCTCGTCACAGCGAAAGGATACTGGAGCCCTTCGAGAACCTTGCGTCTGCCAGGCTGAGCCGGGTTCAGGCATTCTGCTCTATGGGTGCCTGTGTGCAGCAAACACAAGTTGGTCATTGTTCATGCAAGAAATGGGCCCTTTGTGTCAGAAAACAAGAGTCTGGAAGACAAGGGAGGGAGAGTTCAGCGTTGCAATGACATGTCCTGGGCAACACAGAGGGCCGGCTCCTCGGTGCTGACATTCCGTTTCTGCCTCCTGCCTTTCCCCTTTCATCAACCTACACCCACCTGAGTTCCGGCACCCACACCTGGCCCTACGAAGGAGATGTGAGCCAAGGCAGAGAAGCCACAGCCTGCCCTGGCCTTCCCAGCCCTTTGTCTCTGGAGGAGCCCCGCTATCTTCTGGCTTTTGCTCAAGTCCCTCCCCTCTAAGCCTCTTCGGACCCTTTCTTCCCAGAGCCGGGGTTCTGAAGAACGGCAACAGATCAGCAGCTGTGACTGGCCCACCACTAATACCTACAGGATGGCTGCCACAGGCTGATACAAGCATGTAAGTGTTCACACCTCACTCTTGGTCCTAATTAGTTGTAGGGCAGAGAAGGCACTCAACCACAGACTTTCACAGGGAGAGGTGAAGTATGGGCCTCCCGGATAAGCATCGTTCTCACATTTCATCTCAAGCCTGAGGGACACCCTGCACAGCTGAAGCAGGAGGCCCTCAGGGACTCTATGCAGGATGCTCTGTTATCTCTGGAGATACAGCATAGGCAGGGTCCTAAATTCAGCCCTCACTAACCTCCCACCAAAACAGGAGTTGGCCATTTTTTTTATAGAGCCATAGAGCAATTGTTTCAGGTTCTGTAGGCCAAAAGGCAAAACAAAGATGATACCAGGTATTTATAACAACATTTAAAATTTATAACAACATTTAACAGTATAAAAATTATTCTGAGCTTATTCTCTATAGAGAAACAGGCTGTGGATGAGATTTGCCATCTCCAGAGCAAGAACAATAAGAAAATGAAGAACTATATGCACATGATCTCAAGCTTCCTGTTACCTGCATCCACCCAGCAGAGCTGAGAGGAGAATGCATCAAAGGTCAGGCCATTGGGCAGGCCCAGGTTGTCCTGTGCGAGAATCCTCCGGTTGGTGCCGTCCATGTAAGAAGTCTCAATTTTGGGATTCTCTCTGTTCCAATCTGTCCAATAAAGGTTCCTGAAGAGGTAACAGGGGAGAAAGAGGAAGCAAGGGCCTGAAAACACTTTCAGAGAACCAGGGAGGAAGCGCTCAGCAGACAGGAAAACAACACAGCTAAGTGAGACCCTGAGATGCTAAAAGAGATTCCAGGGTTATCTTGGCTCTTTGTTCAAATGGGGTTATCTGTTATTATCAAATTCTGCTTCCTTTATAGTATCTTGGGAAAGCTAGTAAGAAAACTTGGAGGTCCTGGGGCGGGGACGGGAGGGCAGTTCAATGGGCAAAGTGAGGACCAGTATTCAATCCCCAGTACTATGGAAAAAAGAAAAAAAGCTGAGTGTGGTGACTGAGGCTTGTGATCCCAGGGCTGGGGAAAAGGAGGCAGGTGGGTCACTGGGTCTCTCTGGCTAGCCAGCTTGCCCTACTGGGGGAGGGACAGGCCAGTGAGAGACCCTGCTCAAGGTGCAAAAGGTGGCCATTGCCTGAAGAATGATACACAAGGCTTGTTACCAAACACACACGCACGCACACACACTCATCAACTTGGACCTGACATAAACAAACAGTAATTCCCTGAGTAATAAACCTCTGTAGGAGGCCACAGTAGAGCAACATGGTATGACTAAAGCAAGATGTAGATACCAGCAAGGTAGTGATGGAGATGTCTGCTGCATGTGAGGGGGCTGAGTGGCCATAGCACAAGCGATGTTGTCTCCAAGGGAAAGCATCAAAATGTCTAGGAGCTTGGGCCTGGGGTGTAAGACCAAGAGCTTGCCATACAGTGAAACGGGAGAAAGCCGCAATGGGCCGAAAAGTCCCTCAGGAAGGGGACTCCAGGATGCTCAAGCCACATCTGCTCCAACAAGGAGTGCCGGGGCATGGTCAGGCCACCCCAACAGCCTCACGGTATTTATGCAATTTGAGTATTAGTTCACATTCACTATATAGAAATGACTCCATTTCTGAGCTGTCACCCTACAAAGTCTCTTGGCAAAAATGTGAAACTGGACCATGGTATCAAGTCCACACTGTGTAGACTTGGTTTCATCTTGCATGGATGAAACATCTCAGGAGAGCAATGCTGGCATTAGAACCTCCTCTGAGACCACCCAAGAAAGCCAGACACTCAAAGAAGAGACCGACGCATGTGTGCAGGCAAACGCACCCTCTTACGGAGTCCGTCACAATGCCTCTGGGATTCACCAACCCCGTGTCAAACAGTACTCGACGCTGTGTGCCATCCATCTTTGCGACTTCTATTCGATCCTGCTGAGAGTCTGTCCAGAAGATGTTGCGGCCAAGATGGTCAAGGGCAATGCCTTCAGGGCTTCCAAGATCTAGAAGGAAAACACTGAGTCATACCCTAGCCTATAAGTTTGCTGGTTTACTCAGTTGTCTTAGACATGGTGGTCAAACCTTGAGAAACCAAATGGGAATACGAAATTCTTACTGTTTATGGGTAATCTTCCAAGTGACAAATTAAAAAATGCTACCCATCCATCCTCACCTATCCACTGGGTACCACACCGGGAACCTGGAAGGTCACTGTGACAAAGATGCAACCCTGTCCATTAAGAAGCCCACAGCCAACCACCATCCAAACTGAGGTCTAGTTTCTATGGGCAGATAGAGTGGCAGGACCAGAGGAGGACTGGCGTTCACGAGGGAAGGGTTCTGGAGAAGTGTGGGCACCTGTCGAAGAAGCTGCTTCCTGAAGGACCAATGAGAGTTTATCAGACAAGGACCTTGACTAAGTGTTTTCAGACATAAAGAAGACTACAAGTGGCTTGAAGTGGGCTGCAAGTCATTTTCTATGGCCAGAGACCACGAGAGGGAAGGAGTAGCCCTCAGTGAAATGAGGACGGAGGTAAGGAACTCATAGCGTATCTCAGATGAACAGGAGACATGGAATCTTGTGAAGACAGAATGGTAGATTTTTCTTCCTTAGTAATTACAGGGCGGGGAGGCATTTCAAGAAATAATATTGCCGATCACACTGTTAGAACTTGAATAGGGGTGTAAAGGGTAAAAAGAGGGTATTTGGTGATTGCAAATTACATTCCCCACAACCTTGACTGAACAGTCACAGCAAGCAAGACACAGGCTGGCACTGTGAAATAGATATTGCATGTAAGTCACTGTAAGTTAAAACATAGGAAATGATGTGGTAGGATTTATTGACACCCTTGAGTCTTCCCTGTCCTAAGCAGGGGAGCTCTGACAGTCATTTAGCTTGGCTGGACAGTGAGTGCGAAGGTACCCCACCAGGCTGCACTGCCCAGGCATCTGGCGTTCGAGAAAATCATCCCTGCACGCTCTCATCCATACACAAGCAAGTCAGCCTCTCGCCTCAGCCTTTCCTAGACTCGGTTTGGTGTGGGGACAGCAAAGTTCCTGTCGGGGGCTAAGGAGATGGCTCCGTCCATAAAGTGTCCTCTGTGCAAGCATGAAGTCCTAAGTTCAATTCCAAGTACCCCTGATTTAAAAAAATCAGGTGTGGCAAAGCCACCTATAATCCCAGCATTGGGCAGGCAAAAGACAAGAGAATCTCTGGGGTTTGCTAGCCTCCAGGGTAGCCCAATCGATAAGCTCCAGGTTCAGTAAGAGACCCCATCTCAAAAAAAAAAAAAAAAAGAAGAAGAAGAAAGGTGGAGAGTGGTTGTAGTAATCACCTGATATTGGCATGCACATGTGCGTGCGCCCCCACCCCCCACCCCCCACACAGGCCTCTGGCAGGAGCCCAACCAGAAGACAGTGATTCAAAACCACAAATGGTTAGCATATGGTTTATTATTCATAGCCAAAGAAGAGCTGTATAAAGTACAGCTCTTTCCCACACCATAAGAGGCCCAGGAACAATGAAACTGCCTCCCAGGGGCTTTCTGTGGCTTTCAAACAGAATACACACACACACACACACACACACACACACACACACACACACACACACACACACACACGCTCACCAGCAGCCACTCAGTCTGGGGAAAACTCAGAATGAGCACATCCTGTGGGATCACCCTGAGCAACTCTGGAACACTGTGGGGAGAGGAGCTGCCCAGAGTGTCTTCACAGGGCACCAGAGGAAGCCTTTAGGAGCTTGCGTCACACCATCACCTTCTACACAACCCTGGTCCTGATCTCAAACCCGAGAGCCACTCAGCCATTTCTCCTTCCAACCAAGAGAATATGGCTCTGTGGGCTACACTTTGCCGAGGAATGGACTGGAAAAAAAACCCTAACTGTGTTGAAGACAAGGAGATGGCAAGGGGACAGGTTTTCCCTCACTGCTGTGTGGAAAGGAAATTGAGTACAACACCTAGTAAGGAGACCTCAGGAGGAGAAGAAAGCATTTCTCCAACACCTCCCCAGAACTGCTCTGGAAGTTGGTCTTGGTTGAGATCACATTTTTGGTTAATTCTGTGTGCTTTCACAGTTAGTCAACTTTAGCCTTTCTTACAGCGCTCACTGCACTTAAAGGTCCCTGGGCAGATTTCCGGTGCCAAAAGCAACAGGAAATAGCAGACAGTGACCTGTTCCCCTATTCTACTAGATTTTGAAATCAAATCACAGATAACAACAACATTTTCAACAGAGAGGCAAGAAGGCATTTTCAAAGTCCTCTTCCTTAAGCCAGAGTATGAAAGCTAAATACCCTGTCAGCTTCCAGAACAGGATTCTAGAGCCAAGTGCAAAGCTAGGGTTCACTCAGCCTCAGCTGGATTCCTGATGTGTTATCTCTACGGAAGAAAACGAGGAAGAAGGGAAATGGCCATGGGGTAGATCCTGACAGAATATTAACTGTTAGGGGGGTGCTAAATTAGAAGTTGAAAGGCTGCATTTGGCTCCCAAGTGGAAGGAAACGTAAAACAAGGCTGATATTTAAAGGTGTGTCTTCCACCTAAATAGTCTGCAGAGGAAGTGGAGGACTTCATACAGCTAATGTCAGCAAGACAATGCCTTCGGAGCAAACATATTCCCAAACGGATGAGTCAGGATTGAAGCAGTTCACATTCCTTGACCATTTCAGTACAGGGAACTTTTACAGATTCTGGCCTTTTTGGCAAAATGATTAAACATGCTCATGTGAAATAGATTTTTAAAAAGTAAACAAACAAACTGAGGATTGAACCCAGGGCCTCACACATGCTAGGCAAATGCTCCAGCACTGAGCTATATCCCCCAGCTCTCCTGTAACTCTTCACTTTGGGACAGGGGCTTACAAGTTGCCCTCGATGACCTGGAGCTCATTCTGGAGTCCAGGCAGACCTTGAACTTGGGATCTTTTTGCCTCAGCCTCTCAGAGAGCTGGGATGCCAAGTCTACAGCAACAGGCCTTGCTACTCTGAATTTATTGAATGAAGGTATTAAAATGATGTAGATTCCTTTGTTCAAGCAGACATCTAGATGAGGTGAAATGCTGAAGTTAGTCTGTGTCAACACAACACACTTTTTTTTTTTTTTTTTTTTTTTTTGATTTTCGAGGCAGGGTTTCTCTGTGTAGCTTTGCGCCTTTCCTGGAACTCCTTTGGTAGCCCAGGCTGGCCTCGAACTCACAGAGATCCGCCTGGCTCTGCCTCCCGAGTGCTGGGATTAAAGGCGTGCGCCACCACCGCCCGGCTAACACAACACACTTTATCATAAATTAACCAAAACAGAGTTTTCTGTGAGAGGTGATGCCAGCTAGTTGGACTCCAGGTTAGAACTAGGGAGGGGAAAGGTGTGTTGAAGTATGGAAGAGAAACTCCCCTCATCCCAAGATGCTATACATTGAAATGACAACTCTCTAACTCCAGCACAGCCTTGGGAATAGACTCGACATTCAGAGCTGGCCGCGGTGAAACAGTTGTAACCCAGTACCAGGGAGGAAGAGGCAGAGAAGCAGGACTTCCAGGCTTAAAATAAATTGGGTTAAAATAAATAAATGGCAGTTAAAATAGTTCAGTTGGGAGAATGTTAGACTGAAGACACAAATCAATCAATCAATAAATCAATAAATAAGCAAGCTCAGTAGTGGTGCAGGTATATAATCCTAACACTTGGGAGGTAGAGGCAGGAAGATCATGAGTTCTAGGTCATCCTCAGCTACTTAATGAGTTTGAGGGCAGCCTGGCTTACATGAGACCCTGTTTCAAAAATCAAATAAATAAGTAGCCTTTACCTTCTAGGTGAGTATCTATCAATATGCTTGTGGGTTTCTTGACTATTCCTTCCATCCACTGCCTTTGATAAAACCCTTACAGAGCACACGGCGGCAGAGCAGACTCTGGGAGAGGCCACTGCAGGCTCAGAAGCCACAGGAAGGAATGGAATGGTGACTTTAGTCTCATGAACCACAAAGATGGACTATGTAAGCTTCCAGAGAAAGGCACAGGCACCTGCCTTGTTTCAGTTTTATTAGCCTGAGACAAGCAGCTGACCTCAGCCAGAATGTCCCTGATTTAATGACTCGGTGACCTGTGGGAAACGCCAGAGGAGTTGAAAAAAGTAGAGTGTGGAGGCAGAGGACCCAGCTCCTTGCAATCCAAGCAGCTTTCTCCATCCTCCACCTCCTGCCAAGAGCAGTGTGGGCTGCTAGAGGCAGCACCCAAAGGGACAATATTGGCTTGCTCACCTTGTCGAATGATGGTGGTTGGCTCCCCGCCATGTAGGCTGGCTCTCCCAATGGAAGGCTCGCTGATGTCTGTCCAGTAAACCACCTTGTCCACACAGTCAAAGGCCAGCCCAATGATGACTTTTGCCTGGAAGTGACACCAGTGATTGGGAACAGTTCACCCACTAGTTAGTTATTGTTGTCTGGAAACTTCCCATGTGCCTATATATCTCCTCAGATAGTATTTTACATGAAACAAATATGCTTTGTCCATTCACAGTTTTTAATTGTTGAATTGTAGAAACTACATAGTTCAGAAAAAAAACTCTTTTCTAAATACATGTGTTTATACTTTGTGTGTGTGTGTGTGTGTGTGTGTGTGTGTGTGTGTGTGTGTGTGTGTGTGTGCACGTGTGCGCTTCTCTCATCTCCAGTTTGGTTTTCATTTTCTTAAAAAATATTTTTATTTATGTATATGTGTGTATGCTTATGTGTCTGTATATGTACCACCACAAATGTTCAAGTGCCCTTGGAGGCCTGAAGAGAGCATTGCGTCCCTGGAGATGGAGTCATGAGTGTTTGTGAACTGACTAATTTGAGTGCTGGGAACCAAATGGATCCTCTACAAAAGCAGCAAGTGCCCTCAACCTCTGAGCTCTCTTTCCAGCCCCAAGAATGAACATTTCAAATGTACAAGATCCTACAATGAGTACTACAAAGACTTAAAGAGTAAAATTAAAGATGGCCCAGGGAACTAGAAAGAGATGAGTCAGGTTAATGAATTCTATAATTTAATATTGCTAAGACATCAGTTCTCCTTAGTGACAGTTCCAGTGACTCAGTGTCTCCTTTGTCAAAGTTATCAAGTTGTTTGGTTTGGCTTTTGTTTGATCATTGTTGGGCCTTACATGTAACACTGGCTGGCCTGGAGCTCCCTAGGTAGAGCAGGCTAACTCAGAACTCACAGAGATCGCCCCCTGAGTGCTGGGATTAAAGGCATGAGCCACCACGCATAGCTGGATGTTTTGTTTTTTTAGTGGAACAAGAAGTTTATTTGAAAACAGGAACATGCAAACAACAATAGCAATGTGCCTGCTTGTATCTACAATCTCAGAACCTGGGAGGGAGAAGCCAAGGAGTTCAAAGCTAGCTTTGACTACAATAATATGTTCAAGGCTAGCCACAGCTACAAAATAAGTCTGTTTCAAAAAATAAACTCAAATCTCCCTGACTTTGAGGTCCACTATGATCAAGACAGAGTGGCCCTGACTGTCATGAAGTTTGCTGGAGAGATCGACACAGCAAACCAGAGCACCCAGAAACGGCCTCTCTCTGATGCTTTAAGTGGTGTTTTTGACAAGGGTACCCAGGTGCCAAGCAAGAAATATGGTTTCTTAACAAATGGTGCTCTATCGTCTGAATAAACACATGGGGGTGGGGAGGGGGGGGCGGCGGCGGGGGGGGGGGGGACCCTCGCAACCCTCAGGCTGACCTCATACTATTGGTAACAAAATTAAAGGCTGAGTCTATAGTGCTCCTTTCAGAAATCATGAGAGAACATCTTCACAGATCCTGAATCAACTCATTGCCAGGCCAAGCTTGCAGAATGCATGATTCCAGAGCACAGAACCACACTTCTCAGTTTGTTACAGTAGTTCGTAAATAGGAATATGTTGTGTATTTAGACTTTCTTTATATGTAGATGGTTTGTTAAATTTGCATTATATTTGCAAATGGGCATTGTAATACATTAGATTACAAATACAACTACTGCCTTGGTTTCGTATTATATTACATATAGCTATTAACTATCTTAATATTATAGTATGTTATACTATATTGATGTCATGCAATATTATATACTGTAGTATATTTAGCTATTAATTATCTTGATATTATATTGTCTTGTATTACACTATATTATATTTTATGTTATATTATACATGACTATTAACCATATTAGCATTACATTATATTGTGTTGTACTATAATAATTATATTATATTATAGCCATTAACTATGTAGCCACGTCCCTAGATCTGGGACTGTCATCAGGGCTAGTCAGCCGATACTCACAGGGATATGGAGGAAGGTCTTGGCTTCAGTCTTCTTCATGGTGTTTCCCTCCAGGGGCAGGCGTTCAATCTTCCCAGTCTGAGCAAAGAGTAAGTGAGTCCCTGGGGGTAGGGGGATGACGGCTGTAGGTACCACGGGTCTTTGGTGAATAGGGGGAGCCACTGTACTCAGACCTAGAGGGCAAGAGATGGTCAATGAAGGAGAGTTGTGAATACCAGAAATGCACAGGTGCATTCTAATGCTCAAACATACAGATGAATCTATGCATACATGTGTGAGAGCACACATGCACTTAAACATGTATATATATATATGTTCATATGAATATGTGTGTGTGTGTGTGTGTGTGTGCTCATGCACCCATCTACATATCACCCATATCCCAGGTCTTGTCACATTTGTATGCAAATAGCACAGCACCCATTTTCTGTTTGAAAACTCCAGAGACAGAAAGCCTTTAGCCAGTCAAAGGGCATTCGTGAAGAAAACAGGGCAGAACATGAGTTTAGCATTAGAGGTCCAGCTGGGTAAAGAGCTAGCCTTGCTCCCTCTTATATAATGACTCAATTATTTATGCTCTGGCTGGATGCTGGGCTGGTGAGAGATCAAAGTAGTGCTGGGAGCCACAGCCCTGACACCTCTGCCTGCGAGGGGTGGTGCTATCTTTACCACTGGACAGAGAAAGCTCTGAGTGAGGGCTGGCACACCCTGTCCACTGCTATGGGATGGGGCATCCTCTGATCTCACAGGCAGAAATACATCCACCTAGGTTCTTAAGACCAATGGGCTGGCCAGGATTCATCCATCCTCTGATATGGCCTGGCCTCCTTGACTTGTGACCTTCTGACTTGTGGCTCCCTGACTGCCTCAGCAAAGGAACTGCTATGGGTAAGGGAATGGGGGGAGTTGGCACAGCCTGTGCCACAGGCTGGCCTGGTACTATCTGTCTTTCTACTGTGCACTTAGGGCATGTGCCTGTCTGGGCTTCTCTTTAGCTGTCTAAATGGAGAGCTGGCCAGATGTGGCGCACACTTATAAACCTAGCACTTAGGCAAAGGCAAGAGGATTAGGAATTCAAGTTTATCTTTGGCTAACACAGCTACATTATCAGTTAAAGACCAGCCCCCAACATGAGATCCTGCCTCAGAAATGTAAAAAAAGCCTGGGACATATTGAGGTCCAAGGGCCATTGAAAAGATAAAAACAGGTATCTTTACTAGAGTAAGCAAGGTTTTGGGGAGGGCCGAGGGACCACAGCATCCCTGTCTTGTCCCAAAGCCCAGCAGTCTAAAGCCTGTATCTGCCACAGACCTCACTAGCACATGTATGCCCAAAGATGGAAGAGGAGAACATTCACAGAAGCAGGGAAGAGGGCCAAAGGTGAGAGGTGGAGGGTTGGTAGCATGTGAACAGGGAGACCAGGCAGAGCATCCGCTAACACAGGTCATTCTGGTCTTCGAGTCTACACGATAGCTGTCCACTTACATGGGGGCCTCATCCCGGGTGGGGTACGGGTACCCTCCAGCTCCCGACCATCGCGGTCCACACACCAGCAGTAGCCAGTACTGTGGTGGCACTGGGTGGGTTCATAGTGCCCATACTCGTCACACTGGGGTACAAACATCCCCAGTAGCCTGGGCTGCTGGGCATCTGTCGCTCCTGCTCTTCCAAGGATGTGCTCTCGCTCCAGCTGACACCGGGTTTTCTCGACCTCTGTCAGTGACAAGCAAAGCTGAGTGTCAGTCGAACCACACATGGTGTTCCCAAGTGCCACTTGTCAGTCTGGGACCACAAAGGTGGCCTGTCATCACTGGCTCTTTACTCATTTCTTTTTTTCAAATTCAAGATGTCATTATGAAAGCCAGGGATGTAGCTCATGGGTAGAGTGCTTGCACAACATGCAACAAACCCCGGGCTCAGAAGTTCAAGGTCGTCTTCAGCTCTGTGCATTCATGACTAGCTTGACCTTGTCTCCACCCCACCCTCAGAATCATAATGACTTATGATTACAAAAAAAAAAAAAAACTACATCGTGCCATGCATGGTGGTACATGCCTTAAATCCCAGCACTTGGGAGACAGAAACAGGTGGACCTCTATGACTTCAAGGCCAGCCTGGTCTGTATAGTAAAATCCTATCTTAAAAAAAAAACAAAATCAAAATACTATTTATTCTGTAGATTTTCTTCCCTACACAGTTCTTCTAAATTTTTTAAAATTAAAACAAAACAGATAAAACATAAAGTGCTTTAAATGAACAATTCCATGACATTTGGCACATTCGCAGCAATGACCAGCTATGGTTGCTGTTCGTATCTGAACCATTTTCGTCACCCTAAAAGGAAACCTCATGCCTAGTGAGTAGATGCCGCCATGTCTCTTCCGCCCCACTCGGGAAGTTCCCCGTCTCCAGTCTTTTGGGGACTTTCTCGTTTGTGTATTTCGTACAAATGGAATCAGAGGACGTGGATCCTGTGTCTTGCTTCCTTAGGACCCACCCTCCCGTGGTTACCCACCAACCCTTCCTTCCCTTCGGCAGCTGCATTGTACAGGAAAGCCACATTTTGTTCAGCTCTGTCTCCACTGATGGGCGGCCCTGGGATTTGTCCTAAGGCATTTTAAGTTCATCTTAAATTCTTCTTTTACCCCCTGAAGCTTCATGTGATCAACACTGAGTCCAAGCCAAAGAATTCAGAGACCAAAGACCAGGAAGCACTCGATGGCTTCTGCGTGTTTCCCTCTAGTGAAGGCCTATGCCTGCCACAACATCTGACCCCTAACCTGTACAGCTCAGATTCCTCAGCAGGGGAATACTGTTATACAAGGAGCTTAGGAAGTCAGGCCATAGTGTGAGCCTGCAGTCTCCACTCTCGGGGGTGCTAATGCCGGAGGATTAGGGGTTCAAGAAGAATCTGTCTCAACAAAACAAAACAAAACTTGACATAGAATAAACAACTCCGAAATGTGCAGAGTTGCAGCTGGCCTCACATTCCCTGGAGTCTAGCCACCATGGGGGACAGCAGAGTGGTCACCTCTGAAGCATGAATCACACAAAGACATTGATGAGAAGCATCCGTTCTCTGTGCCACAACTGCCGAGAGCTACATTCATCCAAGTTTTAGTGCTTCTTCCGTCCAGACCTTTCCATGACTTGTTCTTTGTGTGACACCCCCTTAACGTCCCAGGTGAACCCCTTTTCCATTGCCTGGTCAATCCTCCAAGACCTCCTGTAGGAAGACCTCTTACAACACCTCTCCCTCCA